TACTGTTTTTCAATTTAAAGCATTCCCCATTGTTCTGTCATTCCAGGCACTTGTCCAAAGTCCCTCTCCAACCTTTTTAGAGTCCCTTTAGGCACTGGAGGGGGCTCTAAGGTTTTCCTGGAGCTTTGTCTTTTCCAGGCTGAACAATCCCAATTCTCCCAGCCTCCTTAACAGAGGTACTCCATCCTTTGGAGCATCTCCATGGCCTTGCTCCAGCAGGTTGCTGTCCTTCCTGAGCTGGATACAGCTCTCCAGTCTCACCAGAGACCACAGTGGAGTAGAGGGGCAGAATCTCCTCCCTCAGCCTGCTTCCCACCATGTACATCAGACACCGTGGAGATGCTTTTAGCCCAGGCAGTGGAGAAGAGCAAGCCCCTGCTGATCCTACATCCCCAGCACTGTGTGGGGGTCTCAGCCAAGAACAGAACTGACTGTTGGGCTTCTCATTGCAGGTTCAGTTCCTGGTGGACCATGGGGCCATGATCGAGCACGTTGACTACAGTGGGATGCGGCCCCTGGACAGAGCAGTGGGATGCCGCAACACCTCGGTTGTCGTCACCCTCCTGAAGAAAGGAGCAAAGATAGGTAGGAACAGGGGGACACTGCCATCAGCTCTGTGCTCAGTCAGGACTCAAACAGTGGGGCTGGCATCCTAAAAAATACAATTATAACCCAGAGGCAGCCTCAGGCCCGGCCACTGCTTCACACTCCGAAAGCAGACGGCGAGTCAGGACTACTTGGTTCTCTTTCCTAAAATGGGGACTTTATTTTTTTACCTGTCGTATTACTTAGCAAAAGTTAATCAATAAACAACTGTTTCTTTGGCAAGGTCTTTCCTCTGGTAATGCTTTTTCTATCTTTACTAGTCTGAGTTGCCAAGTGTAGTCTGTCCATGCCTTGCTGTGAGCTGCTGCGTTCACTTGCTCTGTGTATGCTTCCAGACCTCAGTGTACCTGCACTGCGCCACACAGCCGCTCACGTTACGTTTTCCTGTGAAAGGGGATTTTGCTGGTGCATTGGCTTCCTCGCTGCCTGCCTCTCACAGCTGCTTTTTTCCTTTCTTTTTTTTTTTTTTTTTCTCACCTTCATCCATTTTTTTCCCCCCTCTCTCCTACAACTTCTTGTTTTCTCCTTTCTTTGAAGGTTGTCAGACGTTACCGAGTCGCCCACGAGGTATATCTCATTGCTGTCAGCATCAGCTTCGATCTGATAGCTTTGTTAGCCTTGCTTTCTCCTGTTTGATTTAGTCTGCATGCGTCCCCAACACCTCTAATCTTTTTAATTTACCTCACCTTCAAATAATTTTTTTAATGACTGTTGCAGAGAATAACTTGAACTCAAAAACTAACCTCCTTCCCCCAAAACATACTGAATCTACTTATAGAATATTGTTGACTGACTCTTCACCCACACTAATGAGCTGTCCTCAAATTTTTGCCACTCCTTCCCTCCCAGTATGAGTCCTTGAGATAGGAGCTGGCTCTGCAGGGTGGCCCCTGTGCAGAGCCAGTGCCCCCAGCCCAGTGATGCCTTCAGCACCAGCAGCACTTACACACAGCCTTCCCTTTGTCATTTTTTTTTCTGCCTTAATGGATTTTCTACTCTAGCCTTTCACATCTTGTGAAGCTGGAAATCACAATCCACTTAACCACAAACCACCTATCAACAGTCAAACTGCAGATTCCCTAGTACACGTCCATAGATTTGAGTGTAGAAATGCTTTTATGTAACCACTCTGATTTTTCCTTTAAATACAGTTTGTTTCCCCCATCTCAGCATGTCCCATATTCAGCACTGCCCTCTTGTGGAAACTGCTCCATGCTTTCCCAGGCCACTGGAATTAGCCTTAATGACTGCAAAGGAAAACCATTGCAAGGGGGATGACATTAATTTAGGTGTCAGAGGAATTGTCAGCTCAGTCCTTTGGAGCACTCTGCCCTTTGACCATGCCAAGTTGTTCTCTCCAGCAGAAATTCCCACCCCAGGGTATTTTTTTCCACCCAGCTTCCTACCACCCTTGCATTGTATGAGTTCTTTACCCATCATGCATCCTGTACACTACAGGTCCAGCAACTTGGGCAATGGCAACCTCCAAACCTGACATCATGATCATCCTGTTGAGCAAGCTGATGGAGGAGGGAGACATGTTTTACAAGGTGAGAAGGGTGGGATTGGAACATGGAACAGATGTGACTTGCAGCATCACTTGGTGTGAGGTTTTGGCCATGTTGGGTCAGTGGTTGGTTCTCCCCAGCCTAAATGGTTCTGTGATCCTGAAGCTGCTGCCTTTACCCATGGCAAATAAAAGCTCCCACTCACAGCATTCCTTGTGTTTTAAACTGTTTGGTTTTGGTTAGAGGGGTTGGAGAAGAGAGGATTGATTGCCCAAATCTGTAACAAAGCTGAAGCAAAGCCAAGTTGCATTGGATTAGAGCCAGCACTTCATTTCCTCTCTGAAAACAGCAGGACCTAAGTGTTTGTTGGGAGTGCTGCTGTCATTGCATCAGGTCTGGCAGCCTTGTCATTACCTAGTGAGCTCACTGTTGGGGGTCAAGGCAACAGGATAGAATGGCCCAGAAAAACTCCCAGAATAAACTTCTTGCAATGAGAACAGATTGTCAGGACACAGCTGGCTTTGTCATGTCCTTTAGCCCATGGGAGACATTCCACTGTTACAGTTAGGTTGTCTTTTTTTGCTCTCTGTTTGTTTTAAGCCAGTCTTTAAAACCTGGGGATTTGCACACACATAGAAATTGTGCAAGTACAACAGTGATTCACTGTGAGGCTCTAAGGGTGAAGCAGAAAATAGGCAAAGCTGGCATTGTAGGAGTTACCTGCCAGAGATTCATGATACAGCTGAGAAACCTGAGTCTACAGGTTTTTAAAAATCACTGTTTGTAGCTGCAGGATTTATGTCTGTGTCCTGAGGAACTGTGTGTGTCCTAGATCCCATCCTGCCCTCTTTCTCTCACCCTGTGTTGGCTGCCCCCCTTCAGGGTGCACATCATCCCATCCCAAAATTAGTTGCCCAAAATAGCAGAGATGAGTCACCTTTGAAGGTGACTGTTGCATACCAATAATTATAAAAGGAACCCACTTAACAGACTTAGATGTAGAGTTTTAGACATCTGAAGTCCAGGGAGGTGAATCTCACCCTGTTTGTCCAAGTTCAGAGCCACAGCAGTGCTGTAACATTTGTCTTTGCTATTGCAGAGGCTTCTCTGAGCCCCAGAGCTCCACAAAGTCCCACAATTTTGTTCCTTACCCTCCTGGATGTGCATTAAGCTTTGGGTGGAGGGTGTTTCCCAGGAATGGGTAACTGATCACCCAGCTCAAAAGACCATCCAGCCAAGAACCAGATGGAGTTGTATCGAGTTAACACCATTTCTCCACGTTTCCTGCTGTAGCGTGACAGCTCCTGTATGAAGTGGGAGATCTCAACTTGTGCATGGCATCTGCCTTTCCAGCTCAGATGTTCCCTTGATCAAATGTTCTGCCCTTCTTTTCTAGGCAAGAGCTAAGTAGTGGAGTTGTGCTTCCTTAGCCACCTAAAACATTGGTTGGGCTGGTGAGTGAATTCTCTGCAGGGAGGTCCACTCAACCCAAGGATGAGTTTTGACATGTTTTCCTTCTAATAGAAAGGAAAAGTGAAAGAGGCTGCCCAGCGCTACCAGTATGCTCTGAAAAAGTTCCCCAGAGAAGGGTTTGGAGAAGACCTGAAAACCTTCCGCGAGCTGAAGGTGTCGCTGCTCCTCAACCTCTCGCGGTGTCGAAGGAAAATGAACGTGAGTGTCCCCTCTTCCCATGGCACAGCCCCACAGCCCTGTGCCTCTGCAGAGACATGCCCACCCCTCATGCTGCTTTGGCCTCTCAGATCTCTCCTCCCTCTAACCTGGTTGTCCTTCACAGAGCGCTGACATTTTATAATTCCAAAGCAGTAGTGGTTTAGTGTGCGTTTCAGATGATTAAAAATTCATTGCTGTGTTTATAGCTCTTTGAATTTTTTATTACTCCCTTTTGATGATGATGTTCGCATCGTCACATGGGGGTGGAGGCATTTTCCAGATTTCTGGGGCAGCAGTGAGGAGGAGCCAGGAGATGTGCTCCTTTGAATACTAATTAATTTCAAATGAAGGAGCATATGCTTAGGGGGTTAGCGCTTCCCCAGGGCAGTGACTCATCCAGAAACACCTCCACAAGACTCCCTCTCAGCCCAGAACTTCCAGATCCCTGTCACTCTCCCCACTGCAATCTGGCAGCATCCAGCAAGCAGCTCGTGCAGGTGCCTGTTCTGCCACCCTTCCCTGACTTGGAGTGCAGGGACTTTCACTTCCACAAATTAAAGTCAAAAAGTGACATAGCTGAGGTCATGAGCCAGCAAAGGTTACACTGGAGGGGAAGGGGCTTTTGTCTATAAATGATGTTGAATCCATGAAAAATATCCCAAAACCATCAAGTTTTCCATGCAGTACAAAAAAGAAAGTCCGTACTAAGTTTGTTTTCTTCCATGCTGTATGTATTTTTTATTTCTGAATGCATTCAGTTACTTACCTGCACACCTGTTCAAATGACAGGATTTTGGAATGGCGGAGGAATTTGCCACTAAAGCACTGGAGCTGAAACCGAAGTCTTACGAAGCTTACTATGCAAGAGCAAGGGCCAAACGCAGCAGCAGGTGAGGAGGGACACAGAGAAGGGTGTGAGGGACCAGTTTCTGCCAGCCTGTCACATCAAGTGTGGGCACCCACCCTGCAGAGCCAGGCACTGCCCCCATGGAGAAATGCCAAGGAATGTGCATTAGTGAGATCACAAATGTCCTGAGCTCCAAAGTAATGCCCTCCCTTATCTGGTGATTTCTGAGTCCAAATGTTTTGGGAGGTTTGTCTTAGAGGACCTTTGTCTGGGCATCTTACAACACTGGAGACCTGTGCACCAAAGTGGGGTGTTCTTTTTCAAAGTACACTTCAGTTTGACCACAACTTGGACTCAAAGCAGAATGTGACTCATGGCCTGTACAGAAGATTAAGCTGGTGTTGGGATGCTGTTTTTCCCCATCTAGGTGGGGTTTCCCAGATCCCAGTCATGTTCAAACACATAGTTTTGCTCCAGAGTGAACAGTGTTCCTGTAAATGACACCCCCTTTCCCAAACCCCCGCCTCCCTGTTACACCCCCTAGGCTGGCCTTTCCCTCACAAAGGCTTCCCTGGGCTCACAGCCTCTGGCACATTGCTTGATTGCTTCATTCCAGAGAAGTTAGCCAAAATGCACTGCAAAATTGGAGAGACAAGCCTTGCCCAGAGCGCTGACCTGTGGGAGCCCCTGAGCTCTGGAGCCAGGCCTGACGCTGTGTGGTCTTGGCATCAGGCAGGAGTTGAATTCTCGCTGGCGTGCATGGTTGTAGCTCTGTCAGAGCTTGTTTACAGCAGTCGGTGAGCTGGGCTTGTGTGATCAATGTGTTGCTGTCCCCTTCTCTAAAGCAGAGGTGATGCTCATGGTGATGCTAGGGGGAGTAATTAATTAGCCCCTAACGTAAGCTGCAGAGGCAGGTGTGTTTGCTAGTCTGGGTTGTGCCATCTAAAGCCTGTGTTGCCTTCTCCAGAATTTTCTCTCCCTTTGGATAACATAAATCCAAGGGAGGCCCATAAGGCAGCGTGTGAGAGGTGCAGCAAGCAGTAGCAATCACAGCTCTCTCCCTCAGTAACAGGCACAAGCCACTTTATTCCCCTGGAATCCCTGAAAACAGCTCCATCCAAATCCAGAGTGCTTTCAGTTCTCATTTCTGTTCCTTTGTCAAGCAGGCAGTTTTCAGCAGCCCTGGAGGACCTGAACGAGGCCATCAAGCTGTGTCCAAACAACCGTGAGATCCAGCGGCTGCTGATGCGGGTGGAGGAGGAGTGCAGGCAGGTGCAGCAGCAGCAGCAGCAACAGCAGCAGCAGCAGCAACAACAACAACAGCAGCAGCAGCAGCAGCAGCAGCCATCACCTCCACTCCCAGTGGAGCCAGAACCCGAAGCCCAGCATGAAGAGCTGTATTCTGTGCAAGATATCTTTGAGGAAGAATACCTCGAGCAGGATGTAGAAAATATTTCCATTGGCTTACAGACAGAGTCCAGGCCAAACCAAGGGCTGCCCATCATCCAGAGCCCACCCCAATCTCCAGCTCACAGGGACTCAGCCTATATTTCTGGCTCACCTCTTGGCTCCCATCAGGTCTTTGATTTCAGGTCCAACAGCTCTGTGGGTTCACCGACCAGGCAGGGATACCAGTCCACATCTCCTGCTCTGTCTCCAACACACCAAAACTCACATTACAGACCCAGTCCTCCACACACATCCCCAGCTCACCAGGGCTCCACTTACCGCTTCAGCCCCCCTCCCGTGGGAAGCCAGGCCAAGGAGTATCAGAGCCCGCCGCCGTCTCCGCTGCGCCGAGGCCCCCAGTACCGCGCCAGTCCCCCCGCAGACAGCATGAGCGTGTACCGCTCCCAGTCCGGCTCCCCTGTGCGCTACCAGCAGGAGCCCAGCGCCGTCTCCCAGCTGCCCGGCAGGCCCAAGTCTCCCCTGTCCAAGATGACGCAGAGATCCTTCCAGATGCCCCAGCTCCCCGTGGCCGTGCCGCAGCCGGGGCTGAGGCTGCAGCCAGCCAAGGCGCAGATCGTGAGGAGCAACCAGCCCAGCTCTGCCGTCCATTCCAGTACTGTCATCCCAACTGGTGCCTACAGCCAGGTTGCCCACTCGATGGCCAGCAAGTACCAGTCATCATCAGGGGACATGGGGGTCAGCCAGAGCCGCCTGGTGTACCAGGGCTCCATCGGGGGCATTGTGGGTGACAGCAGGCCCGTGCAGCACGTGCAGGCGAGTCTCAGCGCCGGAGCCATCTGTCAGCATGGAGGGCTGGCCAAAGAAGACCTTCCACAGAGACCATCCTCGGCCTACAGAGGGGGGATGAGATACAGCCAGACGCCTCAGATTGGGCGGAGTCAGTCCGCCTCCTACTATCCGGTGTGCCACTCAAAACTTGATCTGGAGCGTTCTTCCCTCCCCGCCAACCAGCTGGGCTCTCCAGATGTGTCTCACCTCATAAGAAGGCCCATCTCAGTCAATCCCAGCGAAATCAAGCCTCACCCACCGACTCCAAGGCCTCTTCTCCACTCTCAGAGCGTTGGCCTCCGCTTCTCCCCTTCCAGCAATAGCATCTCCTCCACCTCCAACCTGACTCCCAACTTTCGCCCCTCTGCCTCGATTCAGCAAATGGAGATCCCCCTGAAGCCAGCCTATGACAGATCGTGCGATGAGCTGTCCCCGGTGTCGCCCACGCAGGGGGGCTACCCCAGCGAGCCAGCCCGCTCCCGGACCACGCCGTTCATGGGAATCATCGATAAAACTGCTCGGACTCAGCAGTACCCCCATCTCCATCAGCAGAACCGGACCTGGGCTGTGTCTTCAGTGGACACTGTCATTAGTCCTACGTCTCCTGGCAATCTGCCCCAGCCGGAATCCTTTAGCCCACCCTCTTCAATCAGCAACATTGCCTTTTATAACAAAACCAACAATGCACAGAATGGCCATTTGCTAGAGGAAGACTATTACAGCCCCCATGGGATGCTGGCCAATGGGTCCCGGGGAGACCTCCTGGAGAGAGTCACCCAAGCCTCCTCATACCCCGACGTCAAGGTGGCAAGGACGCTGCCCGTGGCGCAGGCCTACCAGGATAACCTGTACAGGCAGCTCTCCAGGGACTCCAGGCAAGGGCAGACGTCCCCAATCAAACCAAAGAGACCATTTGTGGAGTCTAATGTGTAAAAGACACTTGTTGGAGTGAGACCCTCATGTTTTCAGCACACACTTCCAAGCTTGATTTCCATGCATACTATTATAATTATTATTATTACTATTATTATTTTTATTTCTCTTTGATAGCTACATGATCAAGTTTCTCCGGTACTTTATGTGGTGGTCAGACAGCCATGCACGTGCTCCAGCCCTTTTGTTCCCCAGCTGACTGTGAAGCCAACATCAGCCGAGCCAGTATCATTTGCCCAATTCCAGCAAAGTTCCAGCCAGGATATCTTAGTCCATGGTGTGGGGTGGTCCAGAGATATCCCTACGCAGCAGGAGGTAACCAGCTCTTTTTCAAGAGACAATTGCCTTGGATTTTTAAATTGGTTTCTTTTGTCTCAATGATCTCTTACTCAACTCTGATGGGAATTCCTAGGGAATTCCACAGGAGCCTTTCCCAAGGCTGCATCCCCAGGTCCCCGTGCCAGCCAGGTTGTTTAGCTCTTTGCCCCAAGGAGGGGATTGCCCTCAGTGATGTGATTTAACACCAGTAGCTATGCACAGCACCCACAATACCCATTCTGATTCTGCTGGCTTACAGTGCTTTCCTTCCTTATTTAACTTGGTCAGAAGGGGTGGGGATCACACAGCACTTTGCTGCTTTCCAAGTACCTACCAGGTGCCCTCACACTGATTTCTTTGCTCTGGGGCATTTTACAAGCATTGAGGGTGTAAGGTTGGCCCTTTGTTATATGTTTTAATCAGCCAAGGGAGTTGGCCATGAACTGGGACTGCACTAACTTCTTCACACTGTTGGCAGACTTCACCTCACCCACAGCATTTGCACGGGGCAAGTCAGTGTTGGGGACTTCATCTGGGAGGGGGTTTATTACTTGCGAGGAAGAGCAAAAATCTGACTTAGGAAATGGTATTCAAAGAGGAAAATTGCAATTCTTGATTTTTCTTTACTTTTTTTTTTTTTTTTATGATGAGGTTGTAGAACATGGCATGATGGGCCCAAAAGAGGAAGGGTCCTTCTGCAGTCCCAGGCCTGCAGCATCCCTTCCCTCTGGCTCGGTCCTGCCAGGGAGCAGGGGCTGTAGCAAGGGCTGTGCTCCTCTAAGATTCTCTGTTCCCAAAATCCTGGAAAGGGACACCGTGTTCCATATCTGTACATGGTAGAAACCATGTGTTGCTTTTTGAGAAGCTGTAGTTCAGAGAGACCTATTTATAATTTATTTATGTTATCTATTTCAGGACATTTTCCAGTTCAGGTTGGGTTTTTTTCTGTTATTTTCAGTTTTGTAATCAAATGCAAGTCACATCAAGACAGCACGAAAAGCAGGGGCCGGTTCCAAAATCCTTTTTATAGGATTTTCAAAAAATTTTTTTCAATTAGTTGCTGAAAATTTCTTTTGAGGTGGGGGGAAGAACTTCCTTTACCGATTCCTTTGTTCCTGGTGGGTTTGTAATCTGCCTTTTGTGTTCTGAGGGTGAAGGGTGGGATGATGGGAGGGAGAGTGATAACGCTGTAGCTTGTTTTAAAGCAAACTAGTGCCTGTTGCCCAATGCCAAACCTCACTCATATCAACTCTGGGGAGCGATTCAGTGCTGAGCAGGGGAGTGATACCTCCAAAGGGCTACTGAGAATCGATTGCAGGACTTCTTGAACCAAATCACGGGCTCCAGCCTCCGCTGGTGTGAGTGAGCATATCCCAGCAACACATCACTGCAGCTGCACCCTTTCACACCAGCTCAGGACAGGGTCTGGAACTCTTTAAGCAAAGCCTGGCTTTGATGGGGCTTTTTTCTTTTCCCTGTGTGTGGCTCAGCACATCTCATTGCTATCTCATTGCCTGACTTGCTCAGAGCAAGCTGGGACATGCACACCTTGGGCCAGGGGAGGCTTGTGTCTCATAGACACATGGAGAGCATTTGGAAAAGGGGGTTCCTCTATGAGTTTTGGCAGTTTTGGGACACCCCAGGGGCCATTTGGTCTTTGTCAAAGCGAGTATTTGGATTGAGATTGGTGTTTTCTTCCTTGAGGTGCAACCCAATGCTGACTCTGCTTTATCCCAGGGCTCTGTAAAATGGGGGCTGGCTGGGACCCCTTCACTGTGGGAACACCCAGGTCTGTGCATGGTTTCTCTCCTTGCAGATGGGGTGTGATGGTTTTCTTTCTTCCTTTCATTTCTGAAATAACATGCTCTGTATTGTAAGGAATAACTGATTTCTCCTCCGCATCCCACATGCCCATAGCTGGGAGACGTGTCCTGGGTCTGGAGCAGCATCAGTCACTTTGCTTAGTGCCTCTCATCCTCCAGCTTTCTGCCTGAGTGAGTGGCTTCCTACCTTTGGCTGCTTCTTTGAAAGGAAAAAGCAGCGCAGTCCAGCCCTGTGCCTGTTAGCTGGCCGTGGGTGCTCCTCTCCCCTGCCACGCCAGCAGGGGCAGTGACAGAGCTGCCCACGCTCTGCTTTCGCCACTCACTGCCCTGTGCTCCCAGTCCTGTCCTTCAGAACATCCCCCCGCAGCACTCCTGTGTGCAACTGCCCAGCTTCTGAAGATGTTGTAAGAGAAAACAGCTCACGCTTTTAACACAACCACAAAGCTGAAGAAGGCTTGAAACACTGCAGCATGCAGGTTTTTTCACAATTCCACGTGTTACATTTTCCACGGGATTCTTGCACTAATGGTTTTCCATCTGTTCTCTCTGTAAATGGGTGCACTTTACTGTTTGGATTTGTTACTATGATAAATACTGGATATTTAAGCGTGAGTAGTGTCTTCATTAGAGAAATAGCAAAACAGCTCATGTCTCTTAGTGTATTTTTCAAAAAAAAGAAGAAGAGAAAAGAAACAAAGCAATGAATCATAACATTTATAGCACAAGAACTGATTCCTGTATATAAGCATCAACAGATTGAGTAATTTTTGAATACAAAATTATTTGCAGTGGTTTTAAAGCACTTCCCTGGCAATTCTCTTAGGGACAGTTGAGGCAGGATGGCTGCTGTGGCCACCAGGTGGGTAAGAAGCACATTTCTTCCTGGAAAAGCTGTTCTTGCTCAGTCCCCTACGTCTTCAAAGTCATGATTTGGTCTTTGCATTAGGAGAAGCAGAGGTCATTCTGTGTTGTGCTGGCGTGGCCCCAGTGTGCTTGGGGGAGCACAAGGTCAGATCTCACTCTGAGGGCCCTTCATCCTCTACTCTTAGATCTGGGTCTGACAAGATCAGGCCACACTGTGGGATCTCACTCAGTTTCAGACATTGAGCTGTCCTGTATGTCTGTGCTGTGTATTTAATTACTTTTTGAGTAATTAAGATGCAGGTCAATGCTGCCAGCTGGTGCCTTCATGCCCTCCTGACTGCGGTGGTACCACTGGCAAGCCCCACCTTCGAGCAAGCAGGATTTTGGGTCCACCAAGAAAAGCAGGTTCTTGATGACACTGAAACTCCAGTTTTCATTCTTGGGGTACATGCAGAAGGCAGTGCCAGAAGTGATGCTGAAGCTGACCCCTTTCTTTAGCCAACCTTCCCACCAGGTGTCTCTCATCCTCACCTGTGGCTGCTCTGAGACCCAGGTGTGCTGCCACAGAGCTGGAATCTTCTCTCCCAGCATCAGGTGTGGGTGTCTGCCCCATCCATCTGTGAGGATTCATTGGCTCTTGCTTTTCTCCCACGTTAGGAGGATGCTGTGGTCCCAGGGGAGTGGACACCCACGTGGTGGGGGGCTCTGCAGGGCCCCACCAGCCAGCTGGGAGTGGCATCAGAGGGCTTTGGACACAGTCTTGAGTGGGCATCAAAGTGTTGAGGAAAAGGAAGGTTTTACAAAGAGAGATCCTTTCAAGATCCATCTCCAAAGGAGGTACAGCCTGAGCTGCCTTCTCTGTGTCACTGGGTGGGAGGACTGTGATGGTTCCAACAATCTGAAATGTGTGTCTGTCCATCTGTCTGTCTGCTGTGGCACCAGTGCCCAGCTCAGTCTGTCTGAGCACTGAATTTTTGGTTATTTTTCTTTTACCTGGCTGCGAGGAAAACCGCGTGGCTGGTGTGAACGTGTGAGCGTGCGTTTGCCAAACCCTGGAGTCGTGCTGGGATTAGGTCTGGAACCAGGCTGGGTGGTAAACTGGGAGCGGTTCGGTCTCCTTTGCAAAGGCTGCTGTATATTCAGGGTTACCCAGGAGAAGTCTAGCTAAAACCGAAGTGCCAGCTCTGCCTTATCTAGAGAACCAAGCAAGCCAGCGTGCCTGCTCGTGCTCCGCCTCGCTCGCCCGCGGGGGTCCCCAGTGCGCTGCCGCGAGCTCCTTGGTGGTTGTGCTTTGCTGTACTCTTGGCAATTCAAGGGAACTACTGGTTTATCAGCCTTTACCCAAGGGCTTAGGGAAAGAGCTGCTGTACCTGCTGGGACCTCTGCAAATCAAAGCCTTCACCCCATGCCGGCTGCGCTTCGCAGGCTGGTGGAGGGTGTGTTGGACACAAAGCACAATGGTTGAAAGTGAATCTGCGTTTTTTTCAGCTTTATGTGAATAATTGCTGGATTTTCATTCAATCAAACTCTTTTTTCTAATATAAACCACTAAGGGCTCAATTCTTTAGCAAGATGCATTCGTGTCCAACTCTTGACTCTACAGCTGGATCTCACCAAACTGGTACAGACCGACCCAAGAGGTCACAGCGAGCGCGGCCGTCACGGGGAAAGCCAACAGACACCCAACCCACCAGCTGTGTCCTTCCTCCTGCTCCTTTTCTAGCTGTCACGGTACTGGGGAGTCAGCAGCCAGGTCCCACCTGATGGGATCACATCCTGTGGCTGTGAAAACAGAGGGCTGCTTTGCTAAAAGACTTTGTCCCTTTGGGTGATGCTGTCCAGGGACGGCGCTGGGGAGGCACGTCGGGGTGGGAATGGGCAGGTGGGAAAGCCTGGTGCCCATAGAGCTGGGTCCCCACAGGTCTGCCTCGCTGTGCACTGCTCAGCCAGCCACTGAGAGCAGCACTGTGTGCTACATAAAGTCCATTGTGTTGCTCCACTGATAAGCCAGAGACTCGTGTGGACTCTGCCAGTACTGCCGGGCTCATCCCTGTCCAGCCTTTTCTTTGCCATAGTGTTGCATTCAGCGTTCCATCTCCTTTCTGTCTTCACACCCTGGAGGATCTGAGTTGGGTACAAACACGTCCACTACACCTGCCTTGTGCTTTGTACAACTGCCTGGTTGCCATCCTCTGAGACACTTGCTGGGAAGATCTTTAAGACACTTAAATTTTCCTTTAGCTTTTCTATAATTCAGATGTAAAGGACTTTCTCTCTGTACAGTATATTATCCAATGCATGTTCTGTTCTCTCTGATATATTGAACACCACACAGTTGTGATATTGTGCAGTGGGAAGAGCAGCCCCTGCCAGCAGCAGAGGCCTTCGCCTCTCATCTCTAAGGAAAGAAGAAAACATATTTTTTCCTTTGCTGTATTTGCTTGAGCAGAGTTTTCTTGTCTGTACATGTGAGCTGTGAGATAGATGTGAAAAGTTCAAAAGAATGCATTCCCCCCCCCCAATGTATACAGATTGTAATCTGTACAATGAAAACTGTATGTATGAAAAAATGTACCTATTTATAAATGGTTAACACTTGGAAATGGTGTCTGGGCTGCTGTTTTTCCCACGCTGGGGTCAGTGAAGGAGTGTTCTGATGCTTCTTGGTGTGGAAATGATGGTTGGGTTGGGTCTCACGGTCACTGCATGGGGTGGGACAGAGACCTGGGAACCACCAGGAGTGGGAGGTGACAGAGGTGCCACCAAAAAAGGCATATAATAATAGAGTGGATAATAATTATAACACCCAGTGCATGGCCAGACCCTGGACATGGGCCCCTGGGGTCCCTCACACAGCTACTGCTGACAGTCCCACCCCTAATGCCCACCCACCCTCCCAGCCCCTCAGGCAGCTCCTCTCCCATCTGCCCTCGGCGTGTGGGAGGTTGAGGATACCCCAAAACTGTGATCTGGGGGGCAGAGTCAGGAGGACAGGGTTAGCTGCAAACATTTATTAGGTCAGGAGCATCCACTGAGCAAACACATCATGCGTGGGGAGAAAACACTTCAGACACGAGGCTGCTGAGCCTGCACAGGCACAGGGTCACTCCGAACCCCCAGGGAGCCCTTTAGGGGAGCGTCCCCCCATGCTGAGGGAGAGGGGCTGCCAGTGAGTGGGACATCCCAGTGGTGGCAAACATCCCCTCTGCCCACCAGCACTGGGAACAGCCTAAAGGCTTTGGCCTACAGTGCAGAAATCTCTGCTCCCACTCCATCCCCTGAGCAGGGAAGAGGAAGAGCCCGGAGACCCCTCTCCTGTGGCCCTGCCAGCCCCTGCCCTGCCCACAGCACTGCCATTCCCACAGGGCTGGCATGGGTTCGGGGTCGCCAGGGCCTGGACAGGGCAGAGCTCAGGATGATAAAGGCCAAGCCAAGCTGAGTCCAGCGGGCAGCATTGCACCAAGCACGTCCTTCCCCAGCTGTCCTCATCACCCTGGGCTGGGCAGAGATGCCAACCACCAGGGACAGGGTGCACAGGAGCATTTCAGACATCACAAGGAGCCCATGCTGGAGACCGGGAGCTGCAGATGTCACTGGCTGCCACCACCAGGGCTCTCTCCCTCTGTCAGGGTCTTGAAGTCCATGGACAGGGCCAGCTCCTCTGCCAGTGGTGGGCGCTTCCACTCCTCCCGTGTCAGCACGTAGCCCACCACCAGCCCAAAGGCCACCAGCAGCACCCCCAGGGTGTTGGCCAGGATGCCCTCAGGCACAAAGTGGCTGTAGGAGTCACTGCAGGCATAGAGAGGGATGCCCAAGCCTTAAGGGATGGGTGAACTATCCCTGTCCTGGCTGGGACCCCCTCCTCATCCTCATCCCCATCCTCATCCTTCGACACACACCATAGGAAAGGTCACGCACCTGATGTTGAAGAGGAGCATCTCAGTAATGCCCAGCAAGCAGGAGGTGATGGAGAGGATGAAGAGGGTGATGCCAAAGAAGATGTGCTGGGGCTTGTACCACCCTCTCAGCGAGAAGGAGGCACCGGGGAACAGAAAGAAACCACAGCCCAGGAACCACTGTGGGGACACAGGGATGTCACAGGTGCTGCAGAGCCCCTTCCCTGCCGGGGGGCCAGGGGCTTCCCAGCCCTTACCTGCAGGAGGTAGAGCACGAAGGTGGCCATCCCACACCAGGAGTGCAGGCTGTACATGTCAGGGATGCCCTTAGCCCGGTGGGACTCAAACACAGC